AAACCAAAAAAAAAAAAAAAAAATGCTAAGAGTGTTTGGAAAAGAAAATATTGAATTTAAAGTTTCCAATTGCTGATTGCTGAAAATTGAAAAGTTACACCAAATATACAGATTTGAAGATAATTGGAGCGACAATTTTGTAAATAAATATTTCGGATTACAAATATGAAAAACATTTCAGAAACTCGATAACAACCTGATCATTATACAGTCAAACCTCTTTATAACAGCTTCGTTTATTTTAGATATTTTTGGTTGTTACGACTCTAGTTTATCGACTAATAATAAAACTGGCCTATCTTCTAATTCAACTACTTCATTTTAATAATATTAAACCAATTAACTAATTTTAATAGAATTGACCCACAACAGAGGATCTTGCGTTTGCTAGAGACACTATCCTTTTGTTTCAAAATTTCTCATTAACTTAAATTCTTAGAATTAGACTAATATAGTTCTTTGAAGGAAATTTTATTTGCTGCTCCAAACTTACTATTATATTTTTATTTAAATTTCTAAAAGAAATTGCGTACGATGAAAACCCTTTTTCTTTAGTTATCAATGACTTTTCCATCGTTCTACTTTAGACTTACTTTATTTATTCCATATGACATGGGAAATTAGAAAAAATCTACTATATTATATAACGTGCTCTTTATAAATGACTTCACGCATGAAGCGATAACCCTTAGCTTCGATTGCTTCATCGATTTAAGGGATCTTATAATAACATTTTATATCAAACTTTAACCAAATTGTAATTTCGCTTCACAATAGGATAGCTTGAAGCAGTAGCGTAACTGGAATTCTGTCAAGGATGTTCAAACTTTAAACAAGTCATGAATTTTTTTTTTGTTGATGAATGGTCTATCAAATTTTTGTAAATCAAATTACGCAATTTTTAGCTAAACAATAACTTTTTTTTAATAGACCTATAATTTTTTAAATCAAAACTAAAATAACAAAAGGACAACATTAAATTTTTTACTAATGTAAGCATAAAACCAAAGGAAAGAGAGTCGAGAGGATTTGTAGTTTGCAGAGAGCTTTTGTTGAAGAAATTTTTGTACAGCTTGACTTTTAAATTAAAAAAATTATTTAAGAAATAACTTTTAGTTAAAAAATTACTTTTAAGATTAGTTGTTTATTTTTACATAAATTTTAAGCTTAAGAGTTATTTTATTAGAAAAAATTTTAGAATGAAAAAGAATCAAATAGACCGTGCAATTATGGATGTATTAAGGATGTTCAAAAATATTATTGTGCCCAAACGCCAAGTATGCTAAAAAGTTGTGATTTGATTTATGTATAGTATACCTCTGCGAGTAAATTACTGTGCAGATCATTTTGATATAATTCAGTTGCAGATACACCTTTCAAATCAAGCCATTCTCAACTACAATATGTAACAAAAATTATTCGTAGTTTCTATAACTAAATAAACAAGACAAAACAAACTGTAATAGTTAAAATGTAAGTTAATTGTTTCCATTATGTAGGAGGTTTACTTGTTTATTTTAGAAAGCTGCGATAACTCGCTCTAATATCCTGCAGTATTTTTGTTATGTAGATCACGTGTTGAATTTTAAGATATAAGGCTATATCTGAAATAGAGTCACATGTAAATTGTTTAGAGTAATAAATTAGTTTTTTTTTTGGTTGAATATGTACGTCCAAGTTCATGACCAAAATATTGAAATATGTAAATCCATACAGAGAGAATACAATTTTTATTAAAACAAGTGGAAATATTTCAGATGTTGAATACTTTTAAAGAACTTTTTGATAAACTTACGGAAGAGGGTTCAAAATGCTCCTAAACTATTGGAAAAAGTTTAAAAATACCCTTCATCCACCTGTTGGTTTAAAAATATCCCTCCATCCACCTTTTTGGTTTACTTATGCCCTTTGACCGTTAGGTCAATGCTGAATTAAAAATAATTATTATTCTTTTTGTAAAACTTAAAAAAAAAATTTACAAAATATTTTCGTTTTTTTAAACTAATGCACCAGTAGTCCACTAATTTAGTAAAGTTTTTTTTTTCTTTCAGTTTTTACAAAAAGCAATTCAGTTTCTACAAAAAAAATATTTTTTTTCAGTTTTTTTAAAGCATTGTTTTTGTAAAAATTGAAAAAAAGTTGTAAAAACAGAAAAAAAAAATTAATAAAATATTTTCGTTTTTTAAAAACTGAAATAAATATTTTCGTTTTTGAAAAAAAATTCTTTCATTTTTTCAGTTTTTTAAAAATACGAAAATATTTTTCTTTTAAAACAAAACTGAAAACTGAAAATAAAACGAAATGCTTTAAAAAAACTGGAAAACAAATATTTTTCAAAAACGAAAATATTTTGTTGAAAAGATTTTTTTCAGTTTTAAAAAATGAAAGTATGTTTTTAAAAACATTTTTTCTGTTTTTACAAAAAAAAAATTCCAGTATTTACAAAAAAAATTCTTTAAAAAAATGAAAAAAATAATATTTTTTTGTAAAAACTAAAAAAAATAAAATAAGAAGGCTTTACTAAATTAGTGGACTATTGGTGCATTAGTTTAAAACAACGAATTTCTTTTTAAGTTTTACAAAAAGAATAATTATTATTTTTAATTTAGCATTGACCTAACGGTCAAAGGGCATAAGTGAACCAAAAAAGTGGATGAAGAGGTATTTTTAGCCCAATAGGTAGATAAAGGGTATTTTTAAACCTTTTTCAATAGTTTAGGGACATTTTGAACCCTTTTATAAAAAATTTAGAAATCTTCAAAAAGTGTCTTAGCGCTGGTGAAAATACTGTGTATAATATATGTAATAATTACACGTTTTCCGATATTATATATTTCATTATTATGTGTGCCTAGGGGTGTAAAATGAGCGGGTTGAGTCGATTTTGGGCGGGTCAAAATGGGTTGCGTTAATAATTGAGCAGGTCATTTGACCCGCCCAAAGTTGTTTGGGTTAAGATGGGTTGAGTCAAGATGGGCGAAAATTCAGGTCATAACCCAACCCGCCCAACTCTTATTAAGTTTTAATTAATATGTGTTATTTTCTTATAAATTGTATAATTACTAAATACAACTTTTTTTTTCTTTTCTATGGTCATATATAACATATCAAACAAAGAAAATATTTTTAAGATATTTTAATAAAATTGCTCATGGATTAATTTGGCCTAAAACTTAGCCCAACTTTAAATGGGTTGAGATGAGTTGGGTTAAGATAGGCTAAGATTAATAAATAGGCGGGTCAAAAATCAATCCAACCTTAAGCGGGTTGGGCGGGTCATTTGGGCTTGGGCCAGATTTGACATCCCTATGTGTGCCTTAGTGATTCTCAAAAGGGACATTTACATTCCTATACCATATATGAAACCTTATTACCAAAAATGTGCATAATTTCATATTTACCCGTCATGGTCACAGTTATTCTACAAATATTATACCATTTATTAAATACCAATTATTAAGACTTGATTCCTTCCTAATTAGGCGCGCTACAAATCTGGAACTAAATATTCTTCAAGATATTCCTATTTAGGCGCGCTACAATTATGGAAGTAAATATTCTTCCAGATATTTCATTAAATAAGGAATCATTGTAACATTAAAATTCTTTATTTAGATATCTAAGCAAATATCTCTGCATTTTCTACTTCACCTAACGAAGAAACAAATCCCACAAAACGAAGAAACTAAGCAAATATCTCTGCATTTTCTACTTCACCTAATCTTTCTGCTTATAGTCTCACTTAAACTTGTAGCTGCAAATATCGTTATATTTTTTTCCATGAAAAATAATAAGTTGACAAATCTAATAATTTTCACACTCGACAGAGTAGTTGATATAACTTTCTAATATATTTCCCTCAATCTATAATTGAGAATACTATAATGAATCTTTAAGATTATGTCTAGTCGAAAATCCCAATTAAACTATAATTGAAATGGGAATTGGGATATTAAAATTCAATATACCCAGTTTGTAGATATTTTGTAGATAAATTGTAGATTATTTGTATTATGATTGTAGATGCTTTGTTTTCTGTTTTGACAAATCAAAAACGACTAAACTTCTACAAATCTTTTGCAAGAAACGCAATTATGTCGAAAATTCCAATTAAACTACAATCGAATGGGAATTGGTATATTAAATTCAATGTACCTAGTTTGTAGATATTTTGTAGATAAATTGTAGATTATTTGTATTATGATTGTAGATGCTTTGTCTTCTGTTTTGACAAATCAAAAACGACTAAACTTCTACAAATCTTTTGCAAGAAACGCAATTATGTCGAAAATTCCAATTAAACTACAATCGAATGGGAATTGGTATATTAAATTCAATGTACCTAGTTTGTAGATATTTTGTAGATAAATTGTAGATTATTTGTATTCTAATTGTAGATCCTTTATTTTCTGTTTTCACAAATCAAAAACGACCAAACTTCTACAAAACTTCTGCAAAAAACGCAATTATGTCGAAAATGTCAATTATACTACAATTGAAATGGAAATTGGATATTAAAATTCAATGTACCCAGTTTGTAGATATTTTGTAGATAAATT